ATATATATATATATATATATATATATATATATATATATATATATATATATATATATATATATATATATATATATATGTGTGTGTGTGTGTGTGTGTGTGTATGTATGTATGTATGTATGTATGTATGTATGTATGTATGTGTATGTATATATTTGTATTTGTATGTATATATATGTGTGTGTGTGTGTGTGTACTTTGGCATGTAAAACATTCCTGAACAATATGTGTACTTTGTGCTGATACATACATATTTTTATGGACAATCATACACGTTTTTTTGACCTGGTAAACGAATAGTATCATAATTTATTTGTCTAATCTGCATCGCGGATGTACTCTTCCCTGCTATCTCGTACGTTTTATTAATCACACCCGTCGATACACACATTGACTGCACAGCAAAATCCTGTTCAAGGACGCTCTCAGAGCCATTAAAAAGTACGCCTTTGAGGCCAGCGACTACCCCGTGTTGCTGTCCATTGAAAATCACTGTACTCACGATCAGCAGGTATTGTATAAATATAGACATGTATGGGTACATATGCACTTGTGTTCCTATTACTTGCTGCACACATCCATGTCTATATTTATATGTGTATTTATATTTATATAAGTACCAGTCTAAATTTAGCATGGTTTCGATTCAAGCGTCTTCCCCATATTGCTGTCTAGCACCCACTATGCGCAGGTGTTGATAAGTGTAGATATATTTGCATTCGTGAATATAAGTGCTTCCGCATAGACATCTATACACAAATACATATTTATTCAGGTGAAAGGTTTCGGGGCGAACAGTTGACCTGTGCCAGTGGAAGTGTGCTGATAGAGCACGTGTTTGCATTGGCTATACTTCACTACTAATCACACTGCCTCGCTCACCATGAAAACACTGCAGCCGCATTCATTTACATGTAATCTGTATGTCTGACACTATGCCTTCGTATACATCTGACTCTCCCACCAATCACAACTTCACTTTCAGCGTAAAATCACTACAAAATTATTCACTCGTGCACTCACATAATTCGAATAGGACTAACACAATTTCTTCTCGCATCACTCGTATCAGGTTAAAATGGCTAGACATCTGAAGGAAATTCTGGCTGACTATCTGTACTATGTACCGCATCCCGAGGATGAACCATCCTTGCCCTCTCCGGCCTTCTTCAAGAACAAGTTCCTAGTCAAAGGAAAGAAGGTAGGTCGCATTTTAAGTTTTCATTTAATCTCAAAATACGGAGAGAAGGCAGGGCGTGAATCAAGTATACTGTTCGGCATTGTATGCCTGAACTATAATCATAAAGATATTCATTTAGTCAACGCCAGTCTTTTCATATGCATGGTTTGAGTTTTTCTATTACGGATGTAGCAGAATAAAATATTGAATTACTATTTGCCTGAAAGCTGATAGTGCGTTGAAAATAATTTTCGGTTTTAACGAACGTACAGCTGAAACCCCCAGCCGCAGACAGTGCAAAGGCGGGCGAGACAGTCTCGAGTGAATCATCCGAAAGTGAGACCGAGGGCAGTAAGGGTAGGTTTAAAATGTCTCTACGTTCACTTCTATAATATGTCTGAAGTAGGTTTTGTATAAATAGTGCGTTTTTCACTAGTATGATATGTTTGTAGTAGGGTATATATATAATTAGTCTGTGCTTGACTATCTCGACTGGGTGAACATTCAGTAGGGTACTTATGTATATGTTTTAGATTGCCTTAATGTACACGTGTGCTTGCATTGCATGCAGGTTTTCTTGATATACATGCATGTATTGCCCTGTAACAAGCGAGCGCCAATATAGTTGAATAATCCGGACAACGTCCATTGTCACTTCACGCTATTGCAGGAAAAGGAGTAAAGACTCCCAAGCCAAAGATGGCCGAGGAGCTCTCAGATCTGGTCACGCACATGCAGGGTGTGCACTTCAAGGACTTCGCAACTAGGTATGCAACGTGTTGTATACGTATTTCCCCATGTACCCATTACATGCAAAGTGTTTACTCTATGTACTTCAAATCATGAGATGCGATGAATTGGTATCATCTCTTGTACTCGATAACATGGAACATGTGCACTCCGAAGAAGATAAAAATTGCGTTGTAGCACATATAGATCTTCCTCGATTTATACTACATGCTTTACAACAAGGTGTGAGCTGAAGCACCTGGATAGCTCTCACGCACTTAACACTATGTAAAGTGTTCACTGTACGGTTTTCAAATTGAAGTGTGTATAACTACATGCTCAGATACAAGAAATAAGGTTCATATCGACTTTCCATGTTTCCCATGTGCTGGCTATATCAGTAAAGCGCGCATAAATGTACATTTCAAACATTTCTTTGGCAAGGTTTAGCCCTCTGAATACTGTGTAGTTTAATTATGAGCGAGGAAAACGTATGCGGATGGGATTCGGCATCATAATCGCAAAGGTCATTTGAAAGCTTCACGGGTGTATGTTACATTCCTTTTTTAGACTGATGATGCACCTATTTTTCTGTTTTTTAATCCTTGTCTCTTGTTTTCTCATCTATTGATTCAGTGCATCGGAGGGCAAATGCTATAACATGTCTTCGTTCGGCGAATCTAAAACCAAGAAGCTGTCGTCAGAGAATCGCCTCGGCGTAAGTGATGGTGCATCGCTCACCCGAAAAATTCTGTCATTGTATTCCGCACTTACTTCATAGCTTCATACAATCCATCGTACCGTATGCGTTGGTTATGTGTAGGAAAGTTTAAGGCCGCCGCCGTTTCATCACGTGGGTTGTGTATGCATATATGGACATACGTGTTAAGATATCTACTTTATTATGCACCCAACCTGCAACAGGTCTATGTGGGGGCGTATATATACATAGTAAGGTTTTTGTCCACAGCACAATCCCCGTCTTTCGAGTTTATAGTCTACCTCTGCGTATGGGACTACCAAGTACCGATAGCTATATCCAACTTAGATGCAGAAAAATTAGGCAAGTTTGTGTATGCGCGGTGTATATATGAATACATATACAACTGCTTCGTTCGACGATGGTGTCGCATATACACTCATCTCTTGCCTCATACGCCGTGCGCATCGCAGTGGATCAAATACAACACCCGCCAACTCAGTCGCACGTACCCGGGCGGCACAAGGGTTGACTCGTCCAACTACGATCCTACTATGGCCTTCAGAGCTGGTTGCCAGATCGTTGCTCTCAACTTCCAAACAGCGGACGGACCATTCCAGGTATGTATTGATGATTTTGTACTGTTTGTGAGTGTTTATATGTCCGTGTATTTATTGGTTTATAGGTTCGTTGGTATCTAACATTCATTTGGCAGGGTTGTTCTCGTCGGACAGTTTGATATAAATAAAACACCGAAAGTAAACAACACTGTCATCCTATATTCTTATGTTCAATCATGTTTGCGTATCTCCCCACTCTCATCTCAAATCTTTGATGCACTCCGTATACTATAGGTGAACAGTGCGTTCTACAAGCAGAACGGTGGCTCCGGATACGTGCTCAAGCCTGAGTTCATGCGCTCGAAGAACCCCACACTGGCGCACGTACGTTTGCTCTGGAATGAACATTCAAAAACCCTCAATTTTTGTGTGCATTTTCCATTTGAAATGCGAAATTTTCTGTGTACGTATATATATTAATAGTACGTAATCATCTGTGTGTAAGCGTGTAGTGAATGTCTTAGTTTTGTGTATCCAAATGGTTAAAATTCGTATTCTTGTGTGTAAATATAGTCACAATTCACAACTTACAACTCACAACTCACAATAGAGTACTCACAACAAGTATGTATAGTTGAGATGCAGAATGTCCGCATCAACAGCATAGCAGACTACCGCACCACGTTCCATGCACATAGGTTCTAGATCTAATAATGTTTTATATAATACAATATTCCCTATGGCCACAACAGGGCAAGATGAAGATAACAATTCGAGTGATCAACGGTAGTCGCATACCTAAGCCCACGGGAGATGACAGTAAGAGTGAAGTGGTCGACCCCATTGTTAAGATTTACCTACACAACGGTGAGGATGACGACGACATCCCTACCTATAAGACTGCTGTCAAGAGCCAAGGTCTAAATCCGCGATGGTATGATGTTATATCATATCCTAAGTTGATGTTTACAAACCTACATATAAACAAGCTGTACATTCGTATAATACATATAGATGCGCGTGTGTGTGGATATACATGTATATATTTCATATACATACGTACATAAACAAATCTATGAATTTATATATATATATTTATGTGTGTGTGTGTGTGTGTGTGTTTGTGTGTGTATTTATGTGTATATGTATGTATTATATATATATATATATATATATATATCTGCATATTTGCATATTTGTGTGGTGTGTGTGTGTATTTATATGTATGTATGATTTTACATTTGTGTACATGCATGCATGTATGTATGTATGTATGTATGTATGTACATATTATGTATATATATATATATATATATATATATGTGTGTGTATATGAATATATGTATATATGTATATGTATATGTATATGTAAATTTTACACGGGTATAATTTTTACATATATAAGTACATAAACATACATGTACGGCATATCAGACAAACATATATATTACATCAGCATATAGCTTGTTCTCTAAACAGATAAGATATTTATATTCATAGTCATGCTATACTTACCATTCATATCTCTATCCACCACAGGGATGAGACAACCGACTTCACACTCGAGAACTCACTATGGCCCACATCAGTGCTGCGTTTCATAGTACGCGACGAAGATTTGGGATCGGACGACTTTATCGGCTACTGGGCATGTCCTACCAATCAGCTGATGCAGGGCTACCGTATGCTCCCACTCAGTGCTGACAATGGTTTCCCCTTACTACATTCCTACTTATTCGTTCACATCGCCGTTGAGGAGCTGGCTTAAATTGTATAACGACTTGTAATATTCATTGTACTGGTAATAAATAATGTAGCTGATAGAATTTTCCTTTTAAGGGATGAGGAATTGGCTGGTTCGGACGCCTGTCTGATGCAGATAGACAAGTTTGAAAGTATAGACTTTCATGCGATACACGTGGGTTTACAGTGAGTTAGAACTGATAGGTGGATTATGCGTGAATCACTGCAGAGCAGCCGCATGCATATACTAAGTGCTGGCGACGGGCTAACCTATCTACATTTGTAGTTATTTGTTCACGGCTGGCGACGGGCTAACCTATCTACATTTGTAGTTATCTGTTCACGGTAGCATCGAAGACTATGGCCTGAAAATATAGCCGTTCTGCTTTGCTTAATTGAGCGTAGTCCTGCGCAAGCTACATGTTTACACAAACGAGTGTCCCCAATGGTATCAGTGCACATTCTAAAGAGGAGATATCTGAAATACTTCCTACACAATATCCTATTGGATGTGGAAAACTAGGCACGGTATACGCATGAGCTTAAGAACGTATAAACTGTTGTAGGATTCCATATGCTGTTGTTGCCCTGCCGTATGTTCCCCATGGGTGTGGTCACTACCAGCTCAATATTATCAGAAAAAAACTTTATAAAAAAGCTGCTCAGAATACATGAATATTGATGAAGTACAAGGAAGGGTTGTATATATTACATGATATACATTGAGGTGCAGAATATAATAAACAATCAAATCCTAGAATATTTGTACCACTGGGGTCATACGCAGTTTTATGCATCTGTTAATATATATTTGTGCTGCCGTGCGTGTACACACCCATAAAAATCACTCATATGAACGCTCAACGAAGATTAGTGTTTCTCTGAGTTTGAGTTTCCTGCCAGGAATCGACATGGTGAGTGAACACACGATTGATACCGAATGGATAAGTTGAACTAGTTGGACATGGATATAGGTGAGCTAGATTTGGATAGTATTACTCGATGTTTGAGTTTCCTGCCAGGAATCAATATGGAGACTGAACTGGTTGAACGTGGGTAGGGGTGAGTTAGATTCATTGTTGGCTAGTACGGAACACGCCACGATTTGAGACAATATGAGTGAATACATAGTACGTATCAAGGTATGGCAATGGATAATAGTCTATAACACGGTTAACACCGTTCCTGACAAATAGTACACAACAAGCATAACAAACGCAGTACATACTAAAAGGAGATCTCAATTACAAAGGGTATATATGATCAGCAATTATTTATATATTTCTCGGAACAAGCCACGATTTGAGTCAACATGAGTGAATACACAATACGTAACAAGGTATGACACTGAAGAATAGTCTAAAACACCGTTCCACCGTTCCTGACACAGAATACATAAAAATCGTAGCAAATGCAGTACATACTATAAAAGGAATCTCAACTATGAAGTGTATTGATTAACATGATTATTTGTATATTTCTGCGAGATCGGCAACGCCGATGACTTATTCTGTGTACGTGGGCGCGACCTTTGTTTCACTCTCCCAGTCATCTTCAGAGAACTTGCCAACCTTATTGATATTCCAAATACTACTCCTGTTATCATCGTAAGGAGAGGTGTTATCCTCGAAACTGGAGGTACCCAAGATCGTCACGTCGCCTTCAAACGGGCTAACGGGCAAGATAGACCACTGGCTCCATACAGCTCCACTACCGCTGTTCAAACACGTATTATTGATAAACTTGCCATTCAGCGTCATCGTGGATCCAGCGGGATGATCATCTGAAGCGATTACACCACCACGCCCACCACTGACGTTATTCTCGTACGTACCCAATAAAGTCAAATTACCACCTTCATACATTGTAGTCATACGTACAACACCGCCGCGTGACCCGTAACCCTCTTCAACCGCTTCATTGCCCTCGAACGTTCCATCCAAAACCATATTGCCTAGAAGCCCAAAGATGTGGGTAACAGCTCCCTGGTTAGCCCTGTTATTCTTGAACACCCCCTTAATATTAGTATCGCCCTCAATCCACTCGAACATCAACGCCGCTCCTCCTGTGTGCAAAGAAGGCATGAATGCACTGTTGTTCGTGAATGTACCCCCAATATCCATGGTGTAGTCTTGACCCAGGTACTTCACAGTGACGGCTCCACCATAGTATCTGAACTCTACATCCGTTCTGACTGCGAGATTCGTGAATTTGCAGTCATCGTCGATTAGTATGTTCGCTCCGTTACCCACCCAGACAGCCACTCCACTATACTCACTCAACATGTCGTAGACATTCATATTCTTCAAGGTTAGACCAACACGACCTTCTGGCGTGATGGCCTCATCTCCAGGGGTGTGCAGCATGGCCGCTCGAACACCGTCAGATGATGTGACGTCGAAATCGCTCATGACGATGTTCTGGATATAAGTGTTATCTTCATTCATGGGTTCAAGCATGGCACGCAGAGGGTCGTCGAACGTGGCGACCAACTTCGCCTTCGTACCTTCGCAGGTTTTACCCTCAAACGTCAATCCTATTAAAAACTCGATCGGGGCGTCCACATTAAGCGTGTTCCCGATTGTAATTGTATCGCCCTCTCCTGAAGCTCCGATAGCAGCAGCTAAGGAGTCGTAGCAGACATTAGCTCGCACTGCACCTTCACACGAACATGCGTCGACGGTTACTTGGCGTGTGTCTAGCGCTGTGGTAGTGGCTATAAGCGCTGTCAACGCGGTTGCATAGGAATAGACGGACATTGTAGAAAAATGAATACCGAAGTAGTTTTGATAATATATAAAAAGTAGTAGTGATTCTTTTCTCACCCAACTCTTGCACTGAACAACGAATCTAAAGCTATACGACATATATAGAGTTCATCATTTTATTTTATTTTACTTTTTTTTAGCTTTTTCTGGGCCGCATGAATTTCAGAATTTGATGTCACAAGACTCAAGAGTCAAAACTAAGTACTATTTTTTTTAGTGTTGTTGAGAGTTGTGACTGCTGAGAGCCTGAAGTAGTCCTGAAATGCTGAAAAGTCCCTCACACTCTCTCAGTCTGTCAAGTGTCACACATGTGACATTGTGAATCAGTGAGTGCGAGTGCGAGACTTAAGAGTTGAGACTTGTGTCTTGGTGAGTTGAGACTTGAGAATCTAAGTTTGGTGTTCACGCCCACGGCGGTCCACCCCAGAATTGAGACTTGGGCGGGCGCCGGGCGGGGCCGCTCTGTCCACATTTTGTTTCGTTTTGTATTCTAAAAAAATATGTAAAATATAAAATATAAAATAAACATACACAGTTACACAGAGGTCGCAGACGTTTACAGCCTGCAGCAGTGCAGGTCTGCAGTCTGCAGGCTTGCAAGAGAGTATATAACAAAATCCAGCTCTACATTCTGTAGAGGACAGTAAAGTACTTAAAAAAAAAATTTAAAGAGTTAAAAAATTAAAGACATTTTGCATTATTTTATTTTATATTATTCTACGTAAGCAAACATAAATATCATTGGATTTTTATCCTGGTGGCAAATGTTTTTGTTTTTTTTATACAAAAATAGAATGCACGCGGGGCCCGCCGGCCGCCCGGCCCTTGTGCCTCAAGAAGCCAACATCCCAACTTCCCGTTACCCGCGTGTTCTCGACTCGACGAGGTTTTGTTTTATATTTATTATTTGTTTTGTATGTCTTGTTTTTGTTTCTATTTTACTCCCTCTTTTGCAAAGATTCGTTTTTTTAGTTTTTATGCGCTCGCTTGACACTCTTGTGAGTGAGTTGAGTAGTTGTCACTATGCTTTAATGCTTGTTCAAAAGATCTGCTTATATTCACGATTGCTATTGGACTTTGGCTTTGTATCGTTGATGTTTTTATATCCGTCACTACTACATACTGCATTTACTTATGTACGAGTAATGAGTTATGACAGACTGAATATTGATGACTTGATGTCAGTGGCTGACTGTATATTTATAGTGACTGACTGTGAGTGTGAACTGCGAGATTGTATTTAGGCTTTGGTGAAGTTTGGAGTGTGGAATGTGGACTCTCTCTCTCTACTCTACTACTGGTACATAGAAGAAGTGTGATCTGCATGACTGTTGACTGAGACTGTGAGAGACTTGACTCTGCAGATGCCAGATAGAAGGCGTAGTTAATAGTCCACAATGAATACTAACAGTGGGTCCTCGCAACTTGTGCCTGACCGTAATAGAAAAAAAAATGTGACATCTATCGAGTGGACATACATAAAGGTCATCTTATTCGCCGAGAGGTTTTTGGCTGATCGGACTATCTGTTATGTCCATTATTCTCCTGTTGGTATTCCAGGCCTGCAACCCACAATATTGTGAACGTATTGTAGTGATGATTCGTGCGGTCTTATCGACGTCAAACAACTTTTTATACTTGCGTTCAGTTGCGCTAGTCGTGGTTGTAGGCTTGTAGCTTTGCATATATTATAAACTGTACGCACATAATACTACATTCTAAAATACTGTGCTTTTTTTGTGATAAGAAATCGAGAGTCTGTGTTGCTATGACTGTGTGCCTATAAAGTATATGACAGAAATAAAAGAGAGTTTGGTTGATATCAGTTTTTATACCAATTGAAGTAGTCTTTTGTAGAAAACACCAATGTATAATACTTGCTAAAAGAAAAATCACGCCTCTGTGCGAATGAAAAGGGACATTCATTGAAGTGGACAACTAAAAAGTGGACAGGTTGTGAGGACTGACTGTACTGAACTAGAAATAGAAATAAACGAATGTGGTCGTATCCAAGATATCTAGTATTCATGGAAAAAGCGCAAGCACTTGTGCCTCGGTACATTGAGCTGTGGCAAAAGCGGCAAGCTGGTTGAATATGGCAGAGACATCGAAGAGGGTAAAGTTCGTAGCAAAACTGAATGTGCCCACAAAGGGTTGACGGAAACTCTTGCGTTGGAGAGGTGGAACGTCTATCAGATGAGGTTGACGGGCTGCCTCCGTGCCTGAGGTGTATTTGTATAATGGGCAATGTATATGCGGATGAGCCTGTTGATCAACAGTGTCAACTTTTTCATGCTGTTTGATGCGAAGGCCAATCAGGTGAGAGGCGATGTAATAGCCGGGCTTCCAAATTTAGACTCTATGATGTAAACGTACTCTTAAGCAGTACGTGAATTATAAACGTACTCCTAATAGTACGAGGAACTTAAGTTTCCTAAATGGTTTTAATGGTTTTATCATTAAAAGGCCCCAGTAAAATACCAAACATACGGGTTGGTCCAATTCTATTAATAGAACTATATTTACTTTCCAACTTTATAGGTTTCTAGTGACTAATAACGTTACCTAGTTGATCCTCCGATCAGCCAACCAGATGTATCAGTCTGATGAAGGCTAGGTTGGCAATTCTTGATAAGTGGCAAGTTACTGGTTGAGACAATAACTAAGGACATCAAGAGTAATTTTCCTTCTTTTTTTCTTTTCTTCTAATGATGATATTTTATTAGTCTCTCAGATTTGCCCCAACGAAACAAACCATAGTTTCTATTAGAGTGACAACGAAACACTAAATAAAATTCCTTCGGCGGAAACAGTACTGAGAGGATGAAGTCTCACAATCCCTCTGTAAACTTCGATGGAAATT